AACAGAGATTCAGCTAATGAGAAAACTGTACTCTCAGAAACGCAAGCTGCAGTGTGGCATCGCTGCATACAGTACCAGGGTGCTCGCGTGTGCCTGTGCCCATGCCAACACGCTGGGCTGCTCTCTCTTCGTTGTGCATCAGGTGTGCTGTCCCTAGGATCATCCCATCGAGGACACCAGCTGGCTAGAGCATCCAGCTTTTAGCTAAAAGTGAACAGAGAGATATATGTATATATATATATATATTTTTTTTTAATCTCTCTGTCTACCTTTTATTTAGTGCAGAAAGAAACCAGGCCTGACAGCGGAGCAAATAACAAACAGGAACAGTGCAGCACTTCATGAGCCAGAGGTCAGCCGACATGCATTAGCCCTGTGCTCGCACCACCCTCTGGTCTCCACCAGGAAGGTAAGAGTGGATCTGCGATGACCTCCATCAGCTGAAAATCTCACCTCACAGGCTCAGATAAGCTGATCATTGTTTCCAGTCCAGCTATCAACCAAGATAATAGTCATTAGAGAGGCATCCCTGCCCACGTGTACACGGGACTGTGACCATTCATGCCTGTAGGCAGAGAAGTCCGTGGGGCTGTTCATGTTGTGTGAAATTGCCTCCTTCTAAAGCCTTTTCAGAAGCTAGTGTTTCAGTCTTGCTCATTTCCACTGCTGCCTTTTTCACCCAGCTTTTAGTAGGGATGTAACTTGGGTTTTCTAACCTCTTGCTTAAGGTGTATATATTTATCATCTTTCAGTGCTATACATTGATTTATTTCTTGTATCTGTTGATATTTTGACACTGTTGTATCAGTATGTTGATTTATTTTTATCCACATTAAAATCAAATCGACAACTTGACCAAAAACATTTTGATTTCTCTAGCTAATATGTGTTGTCTGTAGGTATTGCAACAACGTATCAGCATGGAGACCACACAGTGAAAAGGAATTGCTTGGAAAGCTAAACCAACTAACCATTTCATTATGAAACTGGAACAGGCAGTGTTTACGGCGAATCAGAAGAGCTTCTCCTGAGACAAACCCCCAGAAATGAGGTAAGAACTGTCCACCGAGCCCGTATTGCTGTCGAGGATGTAGAACATCCCTCACCCGCTGCCTCCTAATCACAGCATGAGCAGTCCTGCTTTGGAGCACCTGCCCAAGGGGAGAGAGGAATAGCTTATCCTTTTTCCTGAGATCTTACCCCACTTCCAGGTATAATATGTACAGTAAAACATTTTTGCTAAGCTAGCTGTGTTTCTTCAAAAATCAGAGCAGACAACGACACCCCTTCTTGACCTTTCAGTTCACAGACTTTAAACTGATAGCTGTGAAGAGAAGAAAAAGCTCCCGACAATTTATTGATCCCCTGTGAAATCTCTAAATAGGCAAAAGCCGATTACTGTGTTCTTGCCAGACCTTTCCCACAGTGCAGCTTCTCTCAGAGACTCAGAGCTGCTGCTGCTGCCTTCTCTTACCCTGCTAAAAACTGTGCATATATCCGTTTTCCTCCAGCATGAAGATGCCTTGTAGGAGTTACAGCCACGAGTTGAGACAACGCAGAAATCACAATAGATTTATACGGCAAGGCCCTCACCCAACCACATATCACTGCCCCATGCTGGATCTGAAAGCCTGGCCGCCGCAAATCCATAGACGTGTACCAGCCACAAGAAACCACCAGGTACTCTTTATGCGTTGCTGGGGCACAGTTTCCAGCGTGTGTTATCTGCAAGTTCTCAGGAGATAATTCAGTAACAAGGACATAATTCACTCTTCAGTAACAAGGATGAACAAAGTTCTGTAGCAAAGGCACGTGTGTGAAAGGCAACGCGAGGTGGGATGCTGAGCACCTGAAAGAAGAAAAGAAGTCTTAGATCACTTCTACCTAGACAACTTTAACAGGGAATTCTCACTAGGCAATGTGTAATAATTATCTTCTCCATTATGGAGTAAAGTAGGTAGTTTCATGGTCTGTAACCATCTTGGGTTAAAAAGATCAACATTTTCACATCAGCATAGCAACTGCTGCATCTAGCTGACACCGCTGATTGTCTGGCTATGAAGCTGGTCTATGAAGGCTACCCAAAGAGAGGGCTAATGGACCAATTCCGCCTAATGTGCTGATGGACTGGGTGTCTTAAGTGGGACCTAACATCTATATGAAGGATCCAGCTCTGGGAGGCGAGGAACCTCAGGGCTGCAGCTTGGTCAGCATCTAAGAGAAAACGCCAAAAGGAAAATTAAGCACCCAAAAATGGTACTGGTGACTTAATTCTTGAGATTGTGCCCTCTGGGCAGCAGGGTGGCACTCTTACCCCCGGCCTGCAGTTCCTCACACGGCTGTCTGGCCTGCTAAACAGCGAGCAGCTGCCATGTTCCTGACTGCTACTGGCTTTTGGCCAGGATCCCATGCATTTTTTCTAAGAGTAGGAATAACAACCTCGCAGACAAGGTGTACAGATAATACAGAGATGGGCACCCTGACAACGCTGACTCTTGGAGGGACCAGAGAGAAACACAATGTCCTGGACAATCTGCCCTGTGTTTCCTACCAGCTGGACGATCCTCCTCAGTTCTCCGCATAAGCTGCTGCGGGGTGGAGCTGTACTGCCTGCCAACTGCAGGAAATGTGGAGTGGTTCTGGAAGTGCTAGGTGGTGTTGTGGGAGCAGTTTAGATGAAAGATGATCTAGAACAGGGTAATATTATTGCCATCTAAGAGGATACATCTAAGCTGAGTCACCAAGAAAAGTTGCACCTGATGACAGCTCAGCCTTGCCATTCACCCTAGATGTGAAGGCAGATCTCTCACAAATCAAGACTGCACGCGTTTTTATTAAGTAACCAAGTACTGCTTGGGTAGGAAAGCAGTGGGGAAGGCACCATGCAGCCACAGAGCCCTTCTTCCACCACATCATTAAGGGCTTACATCACACCAGACAGGGCTAATAAGGGAAGGGAAGTAGGGGAACAGCTCCCTTAGCACCATACTAAATCTGACCTTGAACAAAACCAGAAGCAATGGACTTGATGTAGGAACCACTTGTCCTATATTATACAATGAAAGTCATGCTAGATGAACTTAATGGTCTTAAAAATCTATGAATCACCAACACCACCGGGAAGTGTTTAACTCTGAAACGTGCTTTTGCAATAAATTTTTATGCCTTGGCAAATAACACTTAGCCCCTTAGTAGAGAGATGCTGGAAGGTATCACCACAACGTAGGACTTAAATCTAATTTGTCTCATACCAGGACTTCTGCCTTCTCTGGACAGATATCACTTTTCAGTGACCACTGTCATTCAGATATGGGTATATCTCTGGCGATGGGAGGCCCAGGAGTCTGGGCTTCCTAAAATACAGGATATATACCACCTTCACTGGTTCAGAACAAAC